GCTCCAGTGGGCAGGGGCGGGCCAGGGGGCTAGTCTCCCCGAAGGGGGGTTCACCCGTTGCCCATGGGCGACATAATATCTTTTATTGTACCAACTTCTTTTAGTGAGAGAAATAAGGTTTCAAGCTACACAAAGTTCTACTTCCGGTCTGGGAAAGGTACTAAGCTAAATATGAGGTGGAACAGATTGTTTAGCGTAAGTAGTTAGCACATATTCTAAGGGACCATTCAAGGCGAAGTGGCCCATTAACACCTCTGTAGTCATAGGACAAAAATGGGGGTTTAGTGGGTTACAGTTTGTTGTAATAAAACATAAATCCAGTGTCTTTATTAACACCATGATTTTTAGTGTCTAGCAAAGTTATGAATTTAAGCTCCCAGACTTGTCTTTTGAAAGTTTATATATGCAGATATACCTATCTTATAGAGCTGGAAGGGACCCTGAAATGAAAGGTCATTGAGTCCAGCCCCCTGCCTTCACTAGCTGGACCAAGTACTGATTTTGCCCCAGATTCCTAAGTGGCCCCCTCAAGGATTGAACTCACAACCCTGGGTTTAACAGGCCAATGCTCAAACCACTGAGCTATCCCTCCCCCGAAGTGTTGTGTATATGTTTCCTTAGAGACCGATGACTGATAGGTTAGCTAGACCATGATTGCTTTGTGAATAGCGTTCACCCACAGGTGATAGGATGTTTTTATCTTTTTTCATTTTCCTATGTGAGTTCATTTAAAAGCATAATGATTGTCTGATTTCATCCATATAGTTGTTATTGGGGCACTGGATGAGGTACACCACATGTTGTGATAGGCATGCGCAGGACTCATGGATCTTGAAAGGTATGTTGTGGGGGTGTTGATCATAGTAGCCCTGGAGATGTGTCTGCAGGTTTTGCATCTGTTGTTCTGGCAGGGTCTGGTACTGCTTTGAGTTGGTGTCTCCTGAGTTGTGTGGAGCTTGTTTCTGATGATGAGCTTGGCGAGGTGGGGGGTGGGGGTTGTTTGAAGGCTAGAAGAGGGAGTTGGGGAAGTATTTATTTCAGGATGGGATCCCCATCAAATATGGGTTGTAACTGTTTGAAGATACCCCATGTGGGCTCCAGTGTGGGGTGGTAGGTAATAACTATGAGTGTGCGGTCAGAGGGGTTTTATTTCTGTATTGAAGCAGGTTCTCTTGCAGTATTTGGATGGCCCATTCCATGATGCAATCTACATCTCTGGTGGAGTGTTCTTGTTTGGTGAAGGCAGTTTTGAGTGTGTTAAGGTGTATATCCCGGACAGGAGTACCATTTCCGATTTTGGTGGTGGTGGGGGGCAACTTCAAACGTGATTCCAAGGGCTATGTAGGTACCTGAAAATGCTAGGGTTTTTTTTTTTTCAGATAATAACTTAGAAATTAGCTGATAGGGTGCTGTATCTAATTCCTATATAAAAAAAGAGAATTTAATAAATATTAGACCCACTCAGTTCTAATACCACTAACATGTTCTCATATCTTGTGTCAAGTCACTTAAAGAACACTGGTTAGGTTTAAAATTTTAATGTATATTCTTTGTTACTAACTCTTGAATACAACAATTGAAACAACTGTAGAAAAATCTAGATTATTTTCTATCACTCTTTTTCCAGTTCACCAAGCTTGGAATAGATCATTTAACTTTGGCAACATCCTACTAGGGCAAGGCCCGGTGAGTTTTTACTACACCTGCCTGGGGCATGAGATTATGTAAAAATAACAGATTTGGGGTTCTTTTTATTTGCCTTCTGCTTTTTGAGCCTTTAGGGTGCATTGGGGTCACATTTTGAAGGTTTCTCCACAGCCACGAGGACTAGAAACTTCATTTTTCTTTAAGAATGAAGGCTGAAATCATCACATATCCACTTGACTCCAGGAGCTGGGGCTTTAAGGTAAACAATTGTCATGAGACTCATGACAAAATCATGAGAGTTGGCAACACTGCTTTTACTTCTGTTTAAAGGCTAGTTACTTTCCAGGAGACTCTTAAACACAACACCACAGCAATTGAGTTGCAGTTCTCAGAGGAGAATATTTAAAACCAAACACCAAGAAAATTCTATATTTTAAACTGAGAAAAAAATCTGAGAATTTTGAGGTATATCAGGGCCACTGCAGGCCAGAAAGGAAAGGCATAAGAGCTCTGGGCAGCTCCTCCTTTAGAAAGAAAGTTGGGGGGTCAAATCTTCTAGTCCTTAATCAACTAAAACTTCTGTTGCCATCAGTGCCTCCACTCAGCTATAAACATCACAGTGAACATGTGATAACATGTGTTGTCAATAATTATACACTTCCTACTTAAATATTGGAGCCATCTTATCCAGAGTTACACATCTTATATGCGTTGGCTCAGGGACTGGATTTTCTGGCATATTCTGAATAGTGCTGACTACACAGATGGTGCCCAATGAATAATGCAAATCATGACAGTAATCATCGACTTTATGGACTCTGTGGACACAGTTTCTGTTCTTTGTTCTGGAATTGGCCTGAATACAGCTGAAACCCTACTAATTTGAGGCATAAACACATTTGATACTTATATGGCACTTTCTCATTCCTTCCTTTTCTCAGACTCAGAACAAAAAATGACGACAAAATGGTTTTCAGTTAAAGTGTAAAATTGCACAGCAGCCATTGCTTTACAACCCAGCATGGGGCAAGACCTGCCACCCCTTGGGAGTTAAGTGATCTCCTCTCATCTGACTTTCATTCTCCATCCTTCCTAACCTCTGTGCTGCTTTTCATGGTTCACC